ACGTTGGGGACAGTCTCATGAGATGCTTACCACTCTCTTGGCTATTTCAAATCTTTTCCCTAAAAATCTTTTTCTTTATATTCTTACCTGAATTCACTTCCTTCTGGACCTCAGTCTGGCAAGTTCCTTAAAACTGGCTCTTTTTAGTTCTTTGGACCACAAAACTCAATGGTCCCTCTCATGCATGGAAACTCTCACTCCTCACAACTCCTGTGCCAAGCACTTTGGAGGATCTTGATCTGACAGATTTAACAGATTTAAAAGGAGCATTTGCTCAGTCAACTAAGCACCTTGGTTTTCTGGCAGAGATGAGACATTTTCATTTCTCAGAGGCACGGCCACATCTGCCCTTTGCCCGGCTGTCCTCCATCCCATCAGCCCTGGTACCGTGTCTGTGATTGACTGACCACCACTGCCAAACATGGGGCAGGAAGAGCAGCCCCCAATTTTCCCTTCTAGGAAGCTTGTTCTTGACAATGGGCAAGAGTCACGTTCTCAGAGCAGAAGCTGAGATAACCATTGCATTGGATCAGAAGAGCTAATGGATGGTGCCCAAGGCCAGCCAGAAAGGTCTTGACTGAGATGCCAAGGATTTTTTCCTATTTTCCTAAGGAAAAGTATGGTTTCTAAGCCACCACAGGATATTCAGAAGGATAAATGTACACAGAGAGCAAAGCCTATAGTGGTTTTTTTCCCTTCCTTCCTTTCTTCTCAACATCTCTTACCTTCCAAGCCTCTGTGGGTTGATCCAAGACTGTCCCCTCTAATCCAATCAGTTTTTAAAAAAACATTATCATTGACATATATGTAAATTCATCCATTTCTATTATACTCATCTGTAAAGTAGGATAAAATAGCTACATTTGCCAAGAACAGTGGCTTGAGTCTGTAATCCAAGTACTTTGGGAGGCAGAGGTGGGAGGATTGCTTGAGACCAGGATTTCAAGACCAGCCTGGGCAACATAACTGCACCCTGTCTCTATAAAAAATTAAAAATTCGCCTGGCGTGGTGGTGAGCACCTGCAGTCCCAGCTACTCGGGAGGCTGAGGCAGGAGGATCACTTAAGCCCAGGAGTTTGAGGCTGTAGTGAGCTATGATCATGCCACTGCACTCCAGCCTGGGTAACAGAGGGAAATCCTATCTCTAAAAAGAAAACAAAAAGCAAAAAACTATCCTGTTGTAAAAAAAAAAAAAAAAAAAACTTGCGGCCGGGCGCTGTGGCTCACGCCTGTAACAATAGCTCCATTTTACAGAGCAGGTAGGAGTCAAAGCACTTACACAGGCAAAGCTCGGACAATGATCTTGTCGTAGAAAACATGCTTTTAAGAAGTTACTTCGTGTTTTAATCCCTGTTAGTAGATTTCATTAACCACCCCCTGTCCGTGCTGTGAGCTTCAAGCCTTTTGGGGGATACAGTTCTTCTTTTGGCATACTTATCCCATTTCCTGGCAGAGAACCCGGAGCCACAAAGCTCAAAGCCCCACCTCCCTCCAGCCGGGGTGGCTGTCCTGACCCGGCGCGGCTCCCCAGCTGCCAGGGTCCCTCACTCTTGCATGGCTAGGGCCTCAGACTGTGGGCAGGTGATGGGCTGGGGGAGCAGGAGCCGAACAAAACGCCCCTTCTCACAATGAACAATTGTGCTCGGAATGCGGCGCCGGCAGCTGCAGCCCGTCCGGGTCCCCAGGCTCCCAGGACAGACGGACAGTAGTAGGAAGTACAGTAGGGCGGGTGTGTTTCTCTGCACTCATGCGGGACCTCTCTCTGTCGGATTCTCGCTTCTCTTTTAATTCTCCCTTCACTGCATTCCAAACATTAAAAAAGAATCATATGGAGATAGATGCTCAAAGCACAGCAGCAGTGAATTAATGAATAGCAATAACGAAGGATTTGATAGATTGCAACTACGCCAAGATAAGCCAGCAAAACTTGGCGCTTCTGAATAGACGCCAGGGGGGAAGGAGGAGATTTTTGTCCCCAAAAGCACCACCGTTTCTCACGGCGGCTTTACTCCAGGAAGGTTTGGGTGAGGGGATTTAGGATGAGATACGGTCCCGGTGGTCTTACCCGCTAAGCGTTCCCAGCCTGGGCAACGGGGAACGCTGTGAGTGGCCCCCGTCTGAGATGCTGGCTGCTCCAGGACGTCGCTGCTTCCCGAGGCCACATGCTTCTTTACATCCCCATATGGAGTAGTTTGCTATGGAATGTAAGGAAGTGTGTGGTTTCGGCAAGTGCCTCTTCGCCGGCCCCGAGGTCCCTCCCAGAGCACAGGCTTGGTGACCTTCCTTCTTCCCCATCAGGGTTTCGTGCCCACGGGTGTCTCCCTCACCAGGGAAGCAAGAAGGGCCTCCAAATCCGTCTACGCTCTTCCCTACATCCCCTTCTCCCCTCTTGAGGTGTCTTACCTTTGCTCAGCCCAAAGTTTCAGGCACGCTGACTGCTGTCCCTCTGCGGCCACCAGACCTAGCTCCTCACACTGCTAGCTGGGGAGAAGCTCAGCCCCCAAAGGTTTTTCTTTTTTTTCTTTATTTTTATTTTTATGTTTTGAGACAGAGTCTCGCTAGGTTGCCCAGGCTAGAGTGAGTGCCGTGGCGTCAGCCTAGCTCACAGCAACCTCAAACTCCTGGATTCAAGCGATTCTCCTGCCTCAGCCTCCCGAGTAGCTGGGACTACAGGCATGAGCCACCATGCCGGCTAATCTTTTCTATATATTTTTAGTTGCCAATTAATTTCTTTCTATTTACAGTAGAGACGGGGTCTCGCTCTGCTCAGGCTGGTTTTGAACTCCTGACCTCGAGCAATCCGCCCGCCTCGGCCTCCCAGAGTGCTAGGATTACAGGCGTGAGCCACCCCGCCCGGCCTCCCCAAAGGTTTTTCATTGAATCAGCCCTCACCCTCCTAGCTCCTTCCTCTTGTCACATTGCACCTGAAACGAGACACTTCTACTCGCCAAACTGGATTCTTATTCCTTTAGAGCCATCTGCATCGCGGGTCTGCAGCAGTTTGTGAGCGTCTAAAGGGCTTCGTTGTAGATAAAGGCAGGTGCGGCGGGCAAGGCTCGGGAGCCACAGCCACTGTAAGCGGCTCACCTCAGGCCACATGGTCCCCGACCCCATCTTGCTGTCCCTTCCACTGCACACTGCAACCCTGTGATGCCTCTGGAGTGAGGCTGTCCGAGGAAAAGGTCTGAGATGCTAACATACTGATCCGTTCATCTCATAGGCTAGTTTCCTTCTCCTCTCATGTCTGAGAGGGGCCCTGTGCTCCCCCCAGCACTGACTCTACAGGGCTTGAACCCACCCCAGGAAGGAGCCAGATAAACAGAGGGGGCCCAGAGAGGGGGACAGACTGCAGTCAGCCAAGGCTATGCCAACCCCCACTGCAGTTTCAGAACAAGGGAGGAAGATGAAGGGGTCTCCCTCACCCCCTTACACCCCCCCACTCCAGGATGACTTCCTCCATCCTGCAACTCTGTTTCCTTGTTTTTAGTGTGAGTGTGAGTGAAAGATGAGGGCTGGGACCCCCCTCAATTTACACCGTGAGTTCTCAAGCAAAGCCACAAAAGGAGACGCCCCTGGCTTTGATGGATGCACGCTGAAATGCGCAGGGGCAGCCTCAGGACGAGGATGGGGAGGGAGAGGAGAGGGAAGGGAGAAGGGAGGGTGCACCATGTGTGCACTGCAGGTGGCAGAGGGATGCAGAGAGGCTGGAGATGAGGGGCTCCCTCCCCTCAGAGGCGACAGCACTCAGAGCACACTGGGCTGCAGCAACACAGTGACCCACCCACCCCTTCCAGAAACCGGGCAGCTGTCTAATGGCCTTCAGGGGCACATCAACCTGTACTTTCTTGGGGGTCGGGGGCACTTAGAAGAATATGGAGAGTTACTAGAGATGGGGTAGCTACAGGACTGAATTCAGAAATTTACAGCTTTAGATCGGTGGTTCTTCAGTCGGAGGCAATGTTACTCCCCAGGGGGCATTTGGCAACGTCCAGAGACATTGTTGGTTGTCACAGCTGGGAGGTTCCTGGCATCTAGGGGCTAGAGACCAGGGATGCTGCTAAATATCCTACAGTACACAGAACAGCACCCCACACACACACAAACACACACACACACACATACACACACACACACACACACACACACACACGGCGAAGAACTACCCAGCCCAAAAATGTCAATATCCTAAGGTCGAGAAGCCCTGATTTTGATAGTGGTGCTTTGAATAAATAACGTCTCTGACATCGGCATATGATATTTTTCCAAAGAAAATCACTGTCCTTTATTCTATAAACCTTGATTGTCATGCCTATAAAGCAGGCAGATGCCTCAAGGTTGCACTTCTTTCCAATGGCAGCCCTTTCCCTTTCCTAAATCCCACTCGCTCTAACCATAGTTCTCCTTTTCCTCTCCTGGAGGTTGGTTTCATGTCATCTGCTCAGACCTTGGGGTTGCGTGGTGCGGGTGGCTGTGTTGCTGGGGGGATGGGGGGGGAGAGGCAGGGCATGGGTAAATAAAAGGAGAGCGATGGTGAAAGAAAATGTCCAGAATTGAGGAAATTGTAGGGAAAGAGGCTTATCATTCTGGCTGGTAGCAGAACACACACGCTCTTTCGGTCCTGATTTCAGACTGCCGGCTGCCTGCTCCTTTGCTCCCCAGGAGGAGCTGGGAAAAGAGTAGGGGGTTAGGAGGAGGTTAGCAAGAGGGAGAGCTGGTGGGCAGTGGACCCAACACACCTATGTTCTTGGGAGGAGGAGGGGGAGGAGGAAGATGAAGGTATGATGCCTGATGCAGGGCCAGGACACACACCAAAGAGGAGGGGACCCAGGACAAGAAAGAAGCTGCACCATCACCCTGAGAAGACCATTCTAGAACCAAGCTGTATTTTTTGGCACCCTGCTTTCTCACCGCCACCAGTTATGTGCTTTTACCCAGTTGTCATTTCTACGGTGCCTTATTGAGTGTGTTGATGTCTGGGGTATCTCACTTATTCTGGACAGAGCTCCTGAGCTGGAGTCCATCTGGCAGAACTCCACTTGGCTGATTAAAAACGGTTCTGAGTCTCCTGATGAGTAGTTTCCACAACTTCAGAGATTAAATGAAAGTTACTTGCTACAAAAGAAGAAAAACGTGCAAAGGACGGGCTGGAGTTGAAAGTGAAAATTCTGGCCTCAAGAGCAGTCAGAATTGTTTCTAGGACGTTCCCATACCCCTGACAGCGTCCACTGTGCCGACCAGGGTCTCAATGCACCTTTCCTTTTGTGCTGTTAAGCCTTGCAACAAGCAGGCAAGGTAGGTACGCTCTCCTGCTGCACACAGGTAGAAACTGAGGTTTAAAAACGTTATGTAACTTCCTAAAAGCAAAAGAGCCAGGAAAGCAAATCCGTGGGATTTGAACTCAATGTAAATGTGACTCCACACAACACACTTTCCACTTGATTATATTGCCCTTCATCAGGAAGAGAAAATAAAAGGACAGGCAATGCCTAGCCCCGAGGGGGGAGGACAGTTTTCTAGCATCACTCAAACTACCCTTTCTGCCTACCTCTTCCCCAAGCTGCTCCTACACATGTGAAGACAGGCAGGCCACCTTTAAGGGGAGTGTCTCCTCAATCAGCTTTCTCACGCTGCGCTAGAAACAGGGAGGAACCAGAGGATACTCCCGCCAGCCCTGAGGTTCTCGAATGTTAGCTGCATCAGAATCACCGGAAGGGAAGATGACAACACACATCTCTGGGCCTCGCCCCAGACGTTTGGGGCTGGCAAATGTCACCTTCCTTTTGCAAGGTCAACCTACAAGTTCTTACACACTGAAATCCAAGCCTCTCCTTTAAAATCTGCAAGAATCAAGGACTTCCCCACCTCCCTGGAGAAACTATGTAGTCAATTCTACCCATTTGTCAAACCAAACAACCTCAATGTCTATGGCTGGGAGAATAAATCAATAAATTGTAATATATTCACATAGTAGAAAACCATAAAATAATGAAAATTAATAAACTACAGCTATCACATCAATATGGATGAATCTTATAAATATCATTTTAAATGAAAATATCAAGTCACAGAAGAATACCTATGATATGATGCCATTGTATATTAAAATACACAAATATATTGTTTAGGAATATATGCACAAATGATAAAAACTATAGAGGAAAATATTTACATTATAAGAAAAAAAGAAATTTGGTGTTATTGTTGCCTCCCGGGGGGAAACAAACATAAAGAGATAAATTGGGGAAAGTATTCAGGAAGTCTCAACACTACAGAACAGTAAAAAAAAAAAAGTTCTTTTCTTAAGGAAGATGGTTGTTCATGAGTATTGGTTTTATCACCATATGCCATTACTTACATATGTATTACATATATTCTTTTATAAATATACTTGAATTAAAAATAAATTCTTAAAAATTAAAATGTAAGATAATCAAAGAACATACACCAAAATTTCACATTTATTCTGCAAGATGGGAAGAGGGAGAATTATGGGATACTGTCACTTTCCATATTATATAATTCTATGTCATTTTTGCTCTTCGTGATGTTTCTTTTTGAAAAAAAGAATAAAGATTACAGAAACAATACATTGAAGTCATGCAATGCAAAATACAAATAATGCATGATTTTCACAAGCCATCCCGAGCAAGGCAAGCTCCCGGGGTTTGGCACACGCTAACGCTGGTTCTCTCTGTGTTATAGGCTCCAACACGCGACGCTCGGGACCTGCCAAGGTATCCGCACACCAGAGGCTGCGGTCGCCTTTGAAAGGAGATGCCCCCTGCTCTGGCTGGTCAAACGGAACCAAGTCCGTCTTCCTGAGAGGTTTGGTCCCCTTCAACCAGCTACAGCAGGGCTGGCAATGCTCAGTCCTCGGAGAGCAGAAGAGATTCGCCCGTGGCTGAAATTTACCTACTAAAACTTTCCTGGAGGAAACAATTCTGGTGTTTTTTTTCCATCATACTCTCAGGCTCCTAAGAAAGAAGAAAAGAGGAGTCCCGGGTTCAAAAGTGAGCGAGATTTTCATGCTCAACACACAGAGCCCAGTGCCTTTGCACCCACAGCTAGCGGTACCCACACACTCTTGACACACAGAGTCAGGGAAGATTTTGAGGGTGGAGTTTGTGCCGGCCCTAAGGCAGCCAGGGGAAGAGTATGGGACTTAGAAAACAGGATTTCCACTGGCCAGGGACTAACAATCTAAGTTAAAAAATTGGATATGTGAATATGGAAACGATTCGATGCAATTGCAAGTCAGAGAAAAGCTAGTTCCAAGATATAATTCTTCTTACATAGCCCACCAACCATGCCTGGTACATTGCGTATCAAGTTTCTATTGATCCATTCAGCCCAACTCATCCATTTACTAAGCAATACATACACATTGACAGTTCCCTGATCTATATATAGAATGGGAACAATAATAGTACAACCGCATATGGCTTTATGTGGAATGAAAGGAGCGAATATATACAGGAGTTAGACAGCTCTGGATAATTGTTATCTGTTATTGAGAGAGAATCCTGACCTGTCTCTCCAATTTCTCTTTCAAGATTTGTATCTTTTCCGAGGTACCTAGGAGTGTGTCCAGAACTTAGCTAGCGCTGGATAAACACTTGGTTTTCGAATTCTACGAAGACTTGTACTCTGACGCAAGCAGGGTAGCACGAGTACCCCCCGAGCCCACCCCAGTGACCACCCAGGGGGACTTGGTGCTCGCCTGCACATGCTCTAGAGTCAGGGAGACCCAGGTTTGAATCTTGCCCCTCTCATTTATTAGCTATGCCTCAGTTAATACTGTGCAAAACTTGGTTTATTCATCTGTAATGTGGGTACAATGATACCTACCTCAAAGTTGCTGTAAGGTTTAAAAATGCCAATATTTGTAAAAAGCCAACTATAAGTCCTCAAGAAATGGTAGCTGTTGTTGTTTTGCTGTTGTAAATGGTAACAGTATGACAACACTGTTGTGTCCACAGGCACTTGTATCTGGAAGAGGAAGACCAAATTTTTAAAAAATAGAAGAACTCGAAAAATAAATAAAAACCTTATTACAGGGTATTTTCATATTTAAACTATTAACTGTACTAGCATGTAGTGTGCATTCATCCTGGTTACATATGACTAATATGTTATGAGTTTTACTTTAAAAAACTATGTGTTTTTAAAGTAAAACACATAAGACTGATATTACCATCTTAAAGAAGTGTCCTGGCCGGGCGCGGTGGCTCACACTTGTAATCCTAGCACTCTGGGAGGCCGAGGCAGGAGGGTCATTTGAGCTCAGGAGTTCAAGACCAGTCTGAGCAAGAGAGAGACCCTGTCTCTACTAAAAATAGAAAGAGAAATTAATTGGACAACTAACAATATATAGAAAAAATTAGCCAAGCATGGTGGTGCATGCCTGTAGTCCCAGCTACTCGGGAGGCTGAGGCAGGAGGATTGCTTGAGCCCAGGAGTTTGAGGTTGCTGTGAGCTAGGCTGATGCCACAGTGCTCTAGCCTGGGGAACAGAGATTCTGTCTCAAAAACAACAAAAAAAAGTATCCTGTCTGGAAATCCTTCATTTGTGAGTGCTGTTGAGATCTTATCTATAACCACCTTGTCCTCCTGAGTGTGTGAAGGCCATGGAGTGTGTGTCCCAAAGGACAGCACAGAGTGGAGTGGTCATGGAGGGGCTGGAGCCAGACTGCCTGGGCTCCAATCCCAGCTCCCCACTCACCAGCTGTGCTACCTTGGGCTAGTTGCTTGACCTCTCTGGGCCTAGATTTCCTCATCTGTAGAGTGGGAATATTGATAACAGCATCTGTCTGGTAAGGTTTTGTGGAAATGAAGTGAAAATACATGTAAAGGCCTGAGACTACTGTTGGGTACCCCAATAAGTTCTCATGAGTCTTTGTCTTTGACGATGTACCTGAAAAAAGTTCCCGAAGCCAAACTGGAGTTCAATAAAAACTTGTTTAATTAACAACCACATTCTTTATTTGTTTATTCTAGACACAAACTATGGGATCATGTAATTTCTGGTTCGACTGTTTCCGCTTGTCTCTTTGAATGCAGCACACTGATTCAAACCATTAGCAAGGAGGGGTGGTGGCCGCAGGCTTCTCTCTGCTCCCCAGCTCTGCAGTGCGGTGGAGCTTCCCTGAGAGCTAGGTGTCTGCTTCTGAGAGTAGAAGCAAGGTGATCCTGAAGCACAGCCACAGAGCTGTCACCAGGAAGACACCTGTAAGAACAGAAGGGTTAAGCCACATGAAAACAAATATGACATGGTCAAATACTATTACAGATGCACTTAACAGGAAGAATCTTTTCCATCTGCAAAGTGTACAGGTTATGTGGGGAAAGATTAGATGAATGATGGCAGGTGTAGGCAACAGAGAGTAAAGAAAAGGATAGCTTTCAAATTTGGGATTTTTATGGCTAAAATGCCCAGTAAGACTGGACAGGACCAAACAAGCCTAAGACTGAATAATGTCTTCTTCTATGTTAGAAAAAAAAGCCAAGACACCTAGTCACCCCCCTCCTGCTGGGAGGTTTGGGGAGCAACTCAATCTTTGGCAGGTCATAGGACTTCTGGCAAGTTCTGGAGAACACAGGGTGAACATTGCCATGTAAATCCGCACTCCTGCCCTTGCCCTTGGCCAGCACATCCTTGATGGTCACAGCATGGAAGCTGTTCTAACCACAGCCTGCATCCAAAATTCAACATGTTACACTCGCTCCTCTTACTCGGCCCCTTGAGACTACAACTTCAGGTTTCCGTTCGATTTTTGTGAAAAAAAAAAAAAAATCAAGAGGGGAGCACATTTGTTCCTGCTCCCACTCGCTGTGGAAAAGCCAGACGGAACCTTTAAGAAAAATGCATGATTTCTGGAAAGTCTGAATGATCTCGAATATCCGTGTCCGAAGGTCCCCCGAGACCAAGCTCTGCATTTCAGTGAGGAAGCAAGTGGAATGAAAGGCTGGGGCCAGCTGCCCACGGGCTGTGTTGCTCATCCTGCCCGAGTCCCTTTTCGGGGCAGAAATCTAGGTTAGGCCACCCAGCGGGGCATGTGGTTTTTGCTGCTGAAGCTGGGTCCCTTCATGTGTGTTTCTGCACAATCATCATTCCTGTGCCAGTAAGAGGCAGCACGCGACGTCACACGGGTCAAACATGACGACCGTGGGTCACCTTCGAAGTGGGTCCCACCCTCGAGGTTGGTGAGGTTGAGAGGGAGAAATGATAGTATGCAAATGCCGAATTAGCTCTTACCCCGGAGGAGCGGATGGAAAATAATTTAGACAAACAGGAAAATTCCACCAGATGCGGTTCAGTAAAGATTTGCTTTCTGATGGTGATTTTCTTTTTATTTTATTGTATTTGTTTGTTGGTTGGTTTGTTTATTTATTTAGAGACAGAGTCTCACTCTGTTGCCCAGGCTAGAGTGAGTGCCATGGCGTCAGCCTAGCTCACAGCAACCTCAAACTCCTGGGCTCAAGCGATCCTCCTGCCTCAGCCTCCCAAGTAGCTGGGACTACAGGCATGCGCCACCATGCCCGGCTAATTTATATATATATATATATATATATATATATATATATATATATATTTTAGTTGGCTAATTAATTCTTTCTATTTTTAGTAGAGATGGGGTCTTGCTCTTGCTAAGGGTGGTTTCGAACTCCTGACCTTGAGCAATCCTCCTGCCTGGGCCTCCCAGAGTGCTAGGATTATAGGCGTGAGCCACCGCACGGGGCCTCTGATGGTAATTTTCAGTGCTGACAAGGCTGTTGGCCAACAGGCAGCTCCTTCAGTGCTGGGAGTGAATATTGGTACATACTCTTTGGAGCACAATTTATCAATACATACCCATTAAAGATGCTGCTATGTTCTCTGCCCAGAGTCCTACGTTCCTCTGTTAACAGCTCAGTCCCCCTTCGTGGGGTATTCTTCTTAAAATTACCTCTTTCTCCCGCCATTCACTGTTTTCCATGAGAAACTGTCACAATCCACACAACTGTCTACTCTAAGCCACCCTTAGGCTCTGTCATGGGAGTTTAGGCTTGTGGTTGGTCTATAAATTAGGGAATTCATCTTGTAATTGCCTAAGAAAAGGATTATAAAAAATTTTTAAAAAATATATATATATATAAATTAGGGACTTATTTCCTTGGGAAGCTAAAATGGAAAGACGTGAAGCTTCGTAACTATTTCCAGTATTTCCTGCCAATGTTCGGTAAGCAAGAAGAGTGAACAAATTACATTAAAAGAAACCAAAGAAGGCCAGGCGTGGTGGTTCACGCCTGTAATCCTAGCACTCTGGGAGGCCGAGGAGGGCGGATTGCTCAAGGTCAGGAGTTCAAAACCAGCCTGAGCGAGACCCCGTCTCTACTAAAAATAGAAAGAAATTAATTGACCAACTAAAAATATATATAGAAAAAATTAGCCGGGCATGGTGGCGCATGCCTGTAGTCCCAGCTACTCAGGAGGCTGAGGCAGGAGGATTGCTTGAGCCCAGAAGATTGAGGTTGCTATGAGCTAGGTTGATGCCACGGCACTCACTCTAGCCTGAGCAACAAAGTGAGACTCTGTCTCAAAAAAAAAAGAAACCAAAGAGAGAAGAGATATAGAGTCCAGGAGATATTTAAGTCCTGGCCTCAGTTGTTCCTAAGGCCTGTTTCCTATATCCTGTATCCCTTTTTACCTAAGGCATTTAACTCTGAAATTCTATCTCGTGGAAACAAAGGAAAGAATCCTAACTCGTACAGTATCAAATGCCATGCCCTTTAACACTCAAGAGTTTTTTCTAAAGACACATTGTTAAGTCACAAAAGCAAACTAACATGATCAATTTTTGTTATAAAAAAATATACATGTGTGTATATGTTGAGAAAAACATGGAAGAATCTAGAATGAAGGTCAACAGTACATATTTCTGGACAGTGGATTTGGGGAGGAGGGCTTCTCTGAATTTTCTAAATTTTGGCTAATTGGCATGTATTACATGTAACAAAAAGCAAGCAGCAGAGGTTTTTTATTTTTATATATTTTTGTTTTCTCTCAAAGGTACACATGTAGAAGATTTAAATTTTTAACTTTATAATGAAAAATGGTAATTCCCTGCCCCACCCCCAATATCCAAGCCCCAATCATGTCCACTCTTTAAATAATAAAAATATTTCAGGAGACAACGCAGGTCATTTATCGGAAACGCAGTTTGGCGATCCAGTGTGAATCAGATCTCACCACTCCTGGTCTACACGTGACCACTCCTTAG